CCTGTTTCATAAGCTCTTAATGAAGAGTCGTTTCTATTGATATTAGTATTAGTTATAGAATTTATGTATTTCAATATTAGCGTTGAAAGTTTTTTTATAATAGGTCGATTATTACTTATATGTTTGCGCCAAAACGAAAGCATTCTCTTCTTTTTGATTATTCTTTTTAGAAATCTCCCAAATTCACCATCAGTATTCCAGCTATATGAAGGCGGTCTGAAAATAATCACACCTTGACCAGATGAATGTATTTAAATAGCAGGGAGGCATAAATATAAGTTATAAGTAAGGCTTGTTTGCCGACCCGATGACTAATGGATTAAAGATATATAGACCAAATCCTTTATCAAATCCTTAATAAATGTTTAAATCAATCATTTTGTGTAATATGTCATTGTATGCGTGTGGGGTATTATGTCTATTTGCATTTTAGATTTTATTATTGATAATTAAAATTTCTGTTTTTAACGTGTATTATTCCGATTCGGCTATTTTTTTGTATTATTTATGTAACTACATTATGTCAGAAGCGAACACGCTACTTCTTTCAATACTTAATTAATATCCTCTTCATGTTTGTCAATTAAGTATCTTTCAATTAAACACCCTGTGTAGTTACACGGAATTGGCGTTACGCGTTTCTTTACGGTAGTTAAAAGCTGAATAAACACAAATGTATAGACTTACTGTCGGCGTTCAATGAGCTTAAAATTAACTATGAACTGTACACAATTACAGTCGCTTGTCTCATAGATATATGAGATACGGAAGGAGGGGTTGCAATTAGAGACACCTTGAGTCATCGCCGATTACGTCACCGACATTGTTCTCGAGCGGGCAAAATGATAATGTGTACATACAATAATTAAGCAAGATGATCCTATGGTATAAACATAAGGTGGGTCTGTGAAATACGCATCAGTCGGAAAGCGCACGTTAAATCTCCAAAGTAAGTAAGTAAGTAAGTGATATTACTTCAAAGACTGTTGGCAGTGATGTTCTATTGTGGGGAGTGGCTCCAGAGGAGTTGTCTCATACAGACCCGGAAACAAATATATCCAGTACAGCCCATACAAGTCTATAATATTTGGCAAGTCTAGATTACAGCAATGAAAATGAAGAGTCTCTGGGCTCCTTTTTATTATAATGTTATAACTATAATTTTACAACTGTTTTTATCTGCAAAATGAGTTCAGAAACTAGATTTAGATAGAGGAGATAGCGGTGAGTGATATATCGGTTGTTAGAATGATAGTAGAGACAGTAGAGAGGGGGCCACAGAGATAAACGTGCAACCGTTATTTGTTTTGTACTTACGATTTGACCTATTTTGACAAGCTTAACGGACATGGCTTCATCTCTATTCGACTACAGTGCATTTCGCCTGGAGTGGCGATCGCCGACAATAAAGCTGTTTTCGTGCACTTTGCCTATTCTATGAAAAACGATTCCTAACATTAATTGTGGACTAGTCCAAAGTATTTTGCATGTTATTATTACTTTACTCTGTATACAAACCTGAGGGTTGCTTTGAAACATGTTGTTTATATATTTGAAACAACAAATTTCGAAATGAAATTTTAAGAATTTGTGACTTAACTAGAATAACTGCACCTTAACAAAATACTAGTATATAAATATGGAAAACGAAAGGTTATGTAGCCTAATGACCGCTACATAAGACTCAAAGAACATCTACTATGCCTTTTTTAAAGATTCACTATGTTTTGAAAGTATCTCTTACTCACAGACATTTCTAAATCTTTATTTTATTTTAGAACAGTGTCTAACATTTATCAGTGTCCGTGATGATAGAGCATTTTAAGAATTTTACTATGCTAATATAAATACTTTTAAGTTTTAAAAATGTATTTCATGTTCACATTGTAAGATTATTTATATATTGTGAGAAGTGTCAAATATTTATTACCATCTTTGTATTACGTAAATGTATATATATATATATATATATATATATATATATATATACAATAAACCACACGTATAGAGAACGTGAAGAATTTTTTTTTTTATCAATGTGTCACACTTTGCGTTTACAGTGTATAAAATCATGATAGTAACATAGGTAAAAGTCATAATTGAGATACAATATTAAATAAATTACATAAAAAAATATTCTTATGAATTGTCCTTTGTAGGGAGAGGTGTTTAAATAGGTTTAACTGTTCATCAATCCCATTCCCTTTTTTGGAAATAAATATTGTTTAAATGACATGAAAATATTCCTTGTTTGTTGACAATGGCATTGCTTTGATAAGTTCTTTACGGTAGTGGGTGTTTTGCTGTTGTGTGCCCTGAGCCATAAAGATGTTTCGATAACACTGCAGGCATTAGGAGAAGTTACCACGAACAGCAACCACGTTTGACATGTTTGTTTTGCAATTCATCACCTGGCATTCAACATCAAAGGGCGTTAATTAGTTTCATGTAACGGTACTTAGTTTGTCAGTCATTGTCTCATTTGGCCGTGAGGTGAGGTTTCAGGTGATCCAATCAATTAATATGCAATAGAAAGGCGACCCCTGCCAGCGTCACCCCTGACACAGTCAACATGTATGGGTAAACTGTGTCAATGGAAGCAAGTAAGATTGGCAGATGGCTATACAAAATTCAACCCAAAATCCACTGAAAGCCACACTCACACTCAAATAAAAGGAAAGTTGAAGCTGCCATCTCACGTCTCGGTCACAAGAAGCCCTATGACAAGGTATGTCCTTCTTGAATCCATTGCTCACTTGCTACCAGAATATCACACCATGCCCAAGCGCGGGCTCGGTTAATACAAGAATTGCAGTTATCTGCTATTGGTCGTGGAATTCCTTAAGCTCTATCGAAGGCCTACACTTTCTGAAACATGGCCAGCTACTAGAACGTATATAAGACCCGTGAAGATACGGGGTAGAATTGGTCTTCAGCAACCCATGCTTGGCCTAAAAGGCGACTATATGCTTGGCGTAAAAGGCGACAAACGGGATCGGATGGTCAGGCTCGCTGACTTGGTTGATGCATGTCATCGATCCCAATTGCGTGGATCGATGCCCAAGATGCCAATCACTGGATTGTCTGGTCCAGGCTCGATTATTGACACACCGCCGTCATATAGCTGGAATACTGCTGAGTGCGGCGTTAAACAACAAACAAACTAGAACGTATATAAACAGAGCAGCCTAAGAATTTTTACAAATGAAATCTTATCAGTAAGATAATAGAAATCTTATCAATAGGAAACAGATTTATTTTCAATTCTAGAACTCCCTACATATATACTCCGATCACACATGAGTCCCAAAGAGGGAAAATCAATTGCAGAGGCAGCAGGCGACATATTAAACCCTTAAAACAACGCCAACTTACGTCAACATTTAGGAGTGCGGGATTTACAGGGTGAATGTGCTTGTAAATCATCACATCACATCAACAGATGCACCCAAGAAGTTGTAAAATTAAGAACACCCTGCTATTGACACTGCACGTGAAGGAATTGGAGGAAAATAGTGATAACCCACACAAAATTGATCAGGAGAAAAGGGAATTTGGAATGTTGTGGTTACGTGAAAACAATGATTGAAATTGAAATGGTCATAAATTAGATATGTTACGTCAACAGAAGTATATTTTATCTTACAAGAACGATTCAGAAAATAGGTCATAAAAATCATGTCTCTGAGATAATTATGACAACCAACCGTTGCGATATTACATTGGGCCAACACCGTCTACCCAAACTGGATTGTCATTACTGAAACTCGAACAAGGAATGACAAATGTCAATAAAAAATACTTTTAGAACTGCTAACAAACAGCCTCAAAGTTCTTAAAATCCCCACTTACAAGATAATGACAAGAAAACTCTATCATTTAGGTCATTTGATAGGAGGTATACCTGATATTTGCACATGTGTAGAGAACTTCGAGAGGTCTCGCATTACACGTTCATGGCTAAAATAGCGACATGTAGATTTGAGTGTAATGTTCACCTGGTTCATAGGACGCATCTTTACGATTAAAACACGTTTGAACTTTGAATGTAGATAAAGTTGGATGATAATTAATACTATTTACAAGCCTCCTTTTATACATTTAAAAAAAGTAAAAGATAGGTGGGGTTGTTTAGCATAATATATAAAATTGATACAAGCTCTGCAGTACTGTCCAATGAATTAGAACAAGTTTTTTCTTTATGTTAAAATGTTTGTGAAGAAGATCTGAATAGAAGATTCAGTCAAGTAAGGAGTCGGCTTCATCTTGTATCACAATGTATTACTTCAATTCAGTTCAGTTCAGAACTTGGACATGATGTAGGGTCCTGGGGACTTCTGCAGCTGTCTTGCTCAATCAAGCTCCTCACAGCGATAGCCCGTTCGCGGAGCTCTCTATACTATCGCTGCCACCAGTCAAAACTCCCCACTGTGATAGGTGGCCACAACCATGCTTGGAGTTGAACTCGCAACCGAATGACCGTTATTTTTACAAACAAGTGACGACTGTCGTGACGCCGAATACACTTATCGCTTCTAAATTACTTTCTTTGTATGTCAATTTGAATTTATGTTTCATTAAAACTATCGTGTTATTGATATAGTAAGAATGTAAGGAGAAGTTGGTTAATTTTCCGTTAGTCTGCAATCTCGAACCAATCTGATGTATTTAAACAACAAAGTAAATTCATCTGGAAAACATGGTCAGTCGTAAACCTTTTCAAAATGAAATATGATGGCATTCCCAAAGACATAAACAAAAGTATAAACGTTACTACATTTGGGGTTAGATGGCAAATTTCAAGATTCTTGTAAAAGCCGCGCCCACACTGGTGGCAGCGATGTTACCGAGAGTGTAACGAAGGTGTCACGCGCTGGGAAGGAGCTTGTTGCTCAGTTGCTAAGGGGAGGTTACTGCGCATGAACTTCGACACCACTCAACGGTGGCCCAGATGTCTGACAGATTGTACACGTCCATTCAAAACTGGTTCACTGTTACACCGCCTGTATGGTCGTAGCATGTTGCCGTTATCTTTGTTATGACCATGCCAAGAATCGCGACTCCACTTTATACAAATAATGATATTTTTAAAAACGTCTATGTGAACAAACATTTTCCTCGTTTCCAATGAGTGAGTGAGTTAGGTTCACACCGCTTTGAACAGTATTCCAGTTATACCACGGCGTGTCAGCTTGTTGCACGTGGGAGGAAAGCCGGACGTGATGCAGTTGTAGACGGGCGTGGTATGCTATATCGAGCCACAGTGACATGAAGTGGTGGACATCTCTGAAATAGATAGGGGAAGTCCAGGTGAGGCTGGAGAAATCACAGCGGCTGTAAACTGAGGGTATCCAGGTTGATGTACTTCGCTGACATTCAACTGCAGACAAGGACAGCAAATGATGAACACAACATGAAGTGATGGTGATCATGGATGACAAAGGTATATATATTAAGAAGGCTAGGAGGTATGAAGAGGTTGGTACTTCTATGGCTAACTCATTCAGAGTTAGCACCACCATCTGGCTATACAGGTCTCAGACGTTTACCACTTCGGTGAAAAAAAACCGAACACGGGTATGGTGCCGACAAACCTAGCAACATACTATCGGGGCGAACAGGGATTCGAACCCACGATCATTGGTTTCTGGCGTGACTAAGGGACGCAACCTTCTTGGAATGGCTGTACTGGAAACCCAACCCTCGTGTGTATGAGGATCGTCTGCAAAATGTATTGCCGAGTTGACCGAGTCTAATACGAGCTAAACGAGCCTCCATGTTAAATCATGTGACAAATTCCCGCCGAATTATTTAGCAGCTCGTAGCCACCTCGTACCAAAGTCGTACCAAACTCGTACAGCTCGTATCGAGATCGTTGTGCTCGTATGCAACTCTTAATAGACTCCAATTGGACTCCTATGGGGCTCGTAACACACTCGTATAGTACTCGTATATATGAAGTCTCTTCCCGAGTCGTAACCGACTTAGGCTCGGGAGAGATCGGCAACCACCTCGGCAAAGTGTGAGAGCTACTTTATCAAGTGGCTTATTACAAATACCATTACATGACCACGAGTGTAGTCTGACCTCAAAGCTGGGACATTGTGCAATATTGTTGCAATAAGTTGAGACAAGAGCACGCCTTAAAAGCGGATTTTAGTTTCCTCCTCTCACTATGTCAGTGTTGTTTGGAAGGCGGGACTGATAGCGAGACCCATACGCTCGTCCAGGGCGGCGTGAGTATTACATAATACATGCAGACGCAAACAAAGTAATAAATCAGTTTCTCGTTTGAAGTTTTGAAATAATATGAATCCATTATAATTTCAATTGCGGAGTTCGCTTAGAGAAACACTTTAATGTGAACAAGGATGCGTGGTACGTGTGTAAAGGTGGGGTGGGGGTAAATTGCGGAGTTCGCTTAGAGAAACACTTTGATGTGAACAAGGATGCTTTGAACGTGTGTATAGGTGGGGTGGAGGTAAAGCGGAAAGGGTGTGGCGTGGGGGAGGGGGTGGAGATCTGGCATGGAGGAATGCATATGGCGATGTGGATTTGCCAGGTGATACACTGTAGATATCGTTGCAATGAAATTGCATCACAATGCTTTCAGAACATTGTGACGTCATTGTTACCACGACGTCACAATGAGATGAAATCACTAATGTGTGTTTCTCTGTGTGTGTACGCGCGCGCGCGCGCGTGTGTGTGTGTGTGTGTGTGTGTGTGTGTGTGTGTGTGTAAACGTACATATTAAGCCATAAATTAATATATTATGTTGGTCATGGAACACGTCACAATCAATTCACAACAGTGTAGGGTTGGCCGTACTCGTAACAGTTACTTACTTATCTGAAGTATTTGTTTCCGTAATGAAATACTGTGTCACGCGGTCTCGATATAACGCGATATTCAACTGTTACGGAACTGGCCAGTTTCAATCGGCGCCTTCAAGGAGATATTCAATACTAGCGCATGTCTGGCTGCGCGCATCAGTATTAAAACCAGTTACATCCAAATTCCCGTTATACGGCTCTCATACCATACGTTATGGAAACGAATTCAGTTCAATAAATTGTTCATTTAAACATGTTCATAATATATTGTGTTCATGAAGGATTCTTAGTAATACGAGATGAATATACAACTCTATCAGAAGCCCAATATATGTGTATAAATATTATTGCTCCACCTGGAAATTATGTCCTTCACAATATATTCCACATACATCGCATGTAGGTCTAAGTTAAATCGAGGAATTACGGAACTTGAGAGGTTGAAGAAAACGTAGTTACATTTTGTTTAAATACTTCTAAAACTATTGAAACACGCCATGGTGGGTGCCTTTCTGATGTATGGATGACAAAATCTCCTTTGGCTGTTGAGGACGCGGCTCACTACGCTCTAGCGATAGTCAAATGTCGTTTAATACTGTTATACATAGGGGTTCGATCCAGCATTTATATTATGCAAATTGTAAATCCTTTTTCACGCTGACTCGAAAAGTTGGTGGATTCACCCCTACAGTCTCTTTCTAGTGTCCCCCGCCGTGATATTGTTGGAATATTCTAACAGCGGCGTAAAACCACACTCACTCCATGCTAATATTCTCATTAACTTCTTTATGGATCAATCCCGTATATATACTCCTGATAGGCACCTCCCACCATTAAAATTAGATAAAGTTGATTATCTATTTGTAAATGAAATTTTGAGGGATGATGAAGTTAGGGATATACTACTGTCCATTTGATGGTTTGATAGTTAAATAGAAATTCAATATCAAAAGGTAGTCATAAATGGCTAAAGTTCATATCAGTTCATGTCTTGGCAGGTGTAAAACAGGGCTCGCCCTTGGGACCGTTATTGTTTATTATCTATATCAATGACTTTTTGCTGACGACACATCTTTGTATGTGATCCGGATATAGCTGCTTGTAATCTCAATAATGCTAGATGGCAAGTTAAATTTAGTCCCGATAAATCTGAATCTATTCAATTTACCCGTAAAAGAAACCCTAGTAGCAAACCTAATTTATATATAAATGGCACAGAAATCAAAGATATCACCTACTATTACATTACAAAGTAATTGTTCATGGAAAATGCACATAAATGATATTGCAAGAAGATGTTGTCCTATGGTTAATTACTTAAGAAGTTATCCAGAACAACCTTAGAATATATGTAGAAAATCTTATCAATTTTTTATTATTGTTGTCATATTTGGAATAACTGTACTAACAAACAAGATAATTTAATGAGAGAAAAAACCCAAAATACTTAGATACTCTTAGGACCATATTTGGCGCTGTCCCGGATGCGAGTCATCAGAAAATTTACAATGAAATAAATTGTAAGTCATCAAAAGACCTGAGAAACAATTCAAAATCAGTAAAGTTTACAAAATGAATAATCATCTCTCATCCGAATGTCTTTGTAGGCTTATTCCTAATACAGTTTCGGAAAGCATAAACTATGACTTACGGAATAAAGTTAATCTTCAAACTGCGAAGTGTAAAACAAAAGCTTATGCAGATTCATTCATACTGGCTACAACACAACTTTGGAATATGTTACCAAAAAAACTTAACCGGGGCCTAGACCTTTACACAATTTAAGAACTTGCTACATGGACGGGGAGATAATGGTATACATTGGGATTTAAATTATAGATACAGGTAATGTCAAATTATTTACAGTCGCCTCTGGCTTGGTTGCAGTGGTCAGAGACCCGTGAAGATCCGGGGTAGAATAGGTCTTCAGCAACCCATGCTTGCCGTAAAAGGCGACTATGCTTGTCGTAAGAGGCGACTAACGGGATCGGGTGGTCAGGCTCGATGATTTGGTTGATGCATGTCATCGATCCCAATTGGATCGATGCTCATGGTGTTAATCACTGGATTGTCTGGTCCAGACGCGACTATTTACACATCGCCGTCACATAGCTGGAATATTGCTGGGTGCGGCGTTAAACAACAAACCAAACCAAAATCATAACGCAGATCAGTATCATAAACATATTTTGGATAATAATGATTTTTCCTGTGGATATCAAACCGAAGACGCTTTTCATTTTTGTGTGTGTACAAATTACTATAGTCTACGAAATGAAATGCACTTTTGCAAACATTGGTTTCTCTTTACAAACAGTGCTAAACGGAGATCAAATCCAAATATTAGATACTATTCAAAACTTCATATTAAATAATGGCAGATTTTCAATTAAGAAAATGAATTGATTGATAAAAACTACAAATATGTCTATTATATATACACATCTAGCTTGGCATGTAGAATTCATTTGTTACATTCAACCGTCACTGATGTATTAATAATATCATGTATAATGTGTGATGGAGCTGTATTCACATAACCGATTCGAATGTTTCCCAATACATTTTCATATTTTTGTGAAAATAATTATGTTTAATCAGAAAAATAATACACAAATATGTTACAGAAGACGTAAGTGAGCCATTCCACGCGGAATTATGCGAGACTATTTGTTAGTAACACATATTTTAGGATGCAAAAAAATACGAAAAACATTAAGTAAGAGTTATCCCATATATGACATCTGTTACATTTGACCACCTTCTGAAGGGCATTGTGTGTTCATAGCTTTCGGCCATGGGAGCCGTGCCAATCTACACTTGTCAGAGACGTGATCTAGGCTGCCAGTTGTCGGACTTTCACTTTTGTGGAAGCCTCGGTGGCTGAGTAGGTCAGATCGCCGAATTTGTTTGCTGGCGATAAGGTAGGTGTCTTACTCTGGCAGTGTGGGTTCGAATCCCGGACGGAACTCAACCCCCAAAAGTACTAGAGTCTGTTCTTTTATGAGAAAGTGTTATCCCAAATATAACATCTGTTACACTTGACTAACTGGCATTGAGTGTTCATAACATATATTTTAGTACATAAAAGCAGGTTTGGTCGGTTAGAAGACACACATCAATAAACTGTACTTTCTCCATGGCAGTAAAAGTACGGAAGATATCTAAAAGTTCATTGCAACTGTTAAATAGACAATCTCTTTTACCTGTATGTAAGGTACAGTGGAGTATGTAATGGTAGTAAAAGTACGGAAGTTATCTAAACGCTTATTGCAACTGTTAAATAGACAATCTCATTTGCTGAGGAGAGAGTGAGGGGGGAGAGAGGCAGAGATGGAGAAGGGGAGAGAGGCAGAGGGTTGGAGAGATAGAGAGAGAGAGAGAGAGAGAGAGAGAGAGAAGAAGAAGAAGAAGACGAAAATATTGTATTTATTCATGTGTCACATGTTGTTTGTGTACACATTAGACATAATAACTACGTGCAAACATGTTTTAAATAAGTGCGGCGAGAGGTTTTATATACGTGTTACAATTCATTAAGAACACTGTCTTGTCCACAGGAGAGAATGAAATAAATATAGGATCACATTTTATAATTCTCAACCAC